ATTGCTTCGGATATGTTTCTTCACAGCGCAGCGTTGAGGAAGAAGAAGGAGGGGAACAGAGGGGATGACGCGCAACACCATTGACGCCTGCAGTCAGTTGACCAATGCAACAGGCCCAGCTGAAATAGGAAAGGATGCACCTGGAGCCATTCCGATTTCCTGCCGATCAGATTGCACACGGCCATCATATACCCAGTCGCCATGGAACGTCATGCAATCTCCCATACTTCCCATATCCTAAGATGGGGTTATTGTTATTACTTGGACGCCTCCTACTCCTCCTTCCTCTTCTTCTCCTCCTCATCCTCCTCATCCTCCTCCTCATACCTAGACTTACTCATACACAGACTTACTCATACACAGATTTACTCATACTCAGACCTGATCATGATCATATTAACTTACTCATACTCAGACCTACTCATACTCAGACCTATTATACTCAGACTTACTCATGCTCAGACTCACTCATACCCGGACTTACTCATACTGAGACCTTCTCAATGTCTGACTTATTCAACACACAGCAGATTGTGAGGATGTCTCAGGCGGGGCGCTGGTTTCAGCACCCCATAAAGGGAGCCGCCGAGGGTTTTGCATGGTCCCGTTCGCGGCCGTTGTGTAGGGATGTCTCAAGCGGTTTGCCTGCTTTCTGTCTCAGCATCCTTCGCTTGGAGAGCAGATTGTGAGGATGTCTCGGGCGGGGCGCTGGTTTCAGCACCCCTTAAGGGGAGCCGCCAAGGGGTACTGCACGGTCCCGTTCGCGGCCGTTTTGTAGGGATGTCTCAATCGATGTGCCTGCTTTCTGTCTCAACATCCTTCGCTTGGAGAGCAAATTGTGAGGATGTCTCGGGCGGGGCGCTGGATTCTGAACCCCTAAAGGGAGCCGCCGAGGGGTATGACACGGTCCCGTTCGCGGCCGTTCTGTGGGGATGTCTCAAGCGGTTTGCTTGCTTTCTGTCTCAACACCCTTCGCTTGGAGAGCAGATTGTGAGGATGTCTCGGGCGGTGCGCTGGTTTCAGCTACCTGAGGGGAGCCGCCAAGGGTGCTCTGCACATATGAGATGCACATATGGCTCATATGGCTAGACGCTCATTAAAATATCTCAAATACAACCCCACTTTTTAAAAAGGATGCACATATGGGAGCTCCACGCAGTGAGTAAGTGTTCCTGAGAGAGAACAAGAGCGTATACACATAACACCCGCTTCTCTGTCGGATGGGCGAGTCTACGACCGCAACCTCCGTGCGGCTCATGTGATACGGTCTGTCTGCCACGGCCTCTGATCTCAGCGCCAGCTGACTTCGAACATTCCTCGTGGGACTACTTCTTTCGACCTGGAAACCAAACAAATTCGCCTGACGAAGGACCAAACCATATGCAGCTGCGAGTGCCGCGAGGGAGATGAGACGAAGGAGGGGGACGTGCAAACTCCGAGTAGCGCACGCGGTATAGACTCTTGCAAACGTCGCCATTGGGGCCTTCCGTGGAACTCCCCATGGGACCACGAAACGTGTGAGGGGTGTGCCGAAATGGGGCGACGGTGCCATGCGAATTGTCCCACTGGGGCCTTCGGTGGAGCTTCCCCCAGGGCCACGAACCGTGCGAGGGGGGGTGCCGAAATGAAGCGGCGGCGCCATGCGGACGCTCCCGCTGGGGCCTTCTGCGGAGCTCCATATGATGGGGGGCAGGAAACGTGGGGCGGCGGTGCCATGCGGACGCTCGCGCTGGGGCCTTCGGCGGAGCCCCCTCTGGGGCCACGAAACGTGTGAGGTGCGTACCGAACTGGGGCGGCGGTGCCATGGAAGCTCCCGCTGGGGCCTTCGGTGGAGCTCCCTACGGTGCCACGAACTGTATAAGGGATGTGCCAAAATGGGGCGGCGGTGACGTTGACGAAGCCTACACCCTCCTGCAGCTGTCCCTGGACACGCTGCTCGGGGTCAACGGGTCGGCCGTTCCCGCGGCCGAGGCGAACCTAGTAGGCACTACGCGGCACCATGCGTCGTCTTCTGATGACCTGTAAGAGTGACCTGTCGCCAATGAGCGGCTTTACAAAGCGGCATCATAAGAGTGCCTATCGACGCGACGGTAGAGGCATGACTTCGCACCGCCACCCGCTGCCGCTGCCAGCTCTTTGGAGTGGCCATCGGCAGGGACCGCAAAGGTCGACGGGTCGCGGAGGTCGCCCCTAGGATCACCCCTACGGCACCACTGCGGATTGAGGCAACGACTCGGTGACGAGTGGAAACATGGTAAAAGTCCTCTCTCTGCGTGGTTGTTGGACGGGCTCCGTGGGTGCCGGCCACTGCGGCGCTTAGGCCGTTGCGGGTTTCTGTTGATTGTCGTTCTGGGGAGTTTTGCCAGCGGGGGCGTGGGGGCACCGCGTTTTCCACCCAGCGCCGTTTTCACGGGCACCTTCTTCACGGGTGTGCCGCTGGGGCTGCTACTGATCCTTTTTCAACGCTGCCGCATATGTTTCCATATGTTGAGTAGCCATTTCTTTTAGTGGGTCTACTCCAGAGCTAGGGTGTCCCACCAACCAGTTCGGGGCGGCGGTGACGCATGCAACCGCTGCCACTTTGGCCTTCGGTGGATCTCCGTGTGGTGCCACAAACCGTGTGAGGGGCGCGGCGCTGACGATGGCGATGTTGATGGTCATGATGATGTGGATCATGACGATGGCGATCATGATGACGATGATGACGATGACGATGACGATGACGAGGCGGATGGGAAGAGGGAGGAGGAGGAGGAGGAGGAGGAGGAGGAGGAGGAGGAGGACAGGAGAGGAGAGAAGAGGAGACGCGGGGCGCTGTCTCTTCAAAACGAGGACCCAACACCACAGGATGGCTGGGAACAAACGAAACCATGCGCTGCTCGAGAACATCCGAAGCTCGGCACGGCGACCTCACGAAAAGACAAAGCCTGGCGGTCTCGGCTCTCTTTGGGGTGGAGGAAGCGCGGGCACCCACTGAGGCCTCGGGAACACGGAGAACCTCCACCATCGACTCAGAGCTAGGCGAGACAGGACACCAATCCCTGTGGTTGAACCTGCCCCCATCCCTACCACGAGCCTCAGAGGCTGACTTGTTTCCATCCGTGGGCACCCCAGAGCGCTCGGCCCCCTTCGAGCTGGCGTTTCGCCCCGGATTGTTTTTGCAGTGGCCCTGGGATCGGTGGCGCGACTTGTCGAATCGCCAAAATTCTAAGCCCCAGGACTCGAGGCCGCCCCCCCTCGAAAACCCAGGACGCGCCTTGGCAATGACTTCGAAGCCGACCCAGCCGTGGCCACGAGGGCTCTCTGGCAGAGCCCATGAAGTCCAAACATATCCACACATCACATCGGTCGATCCTCCTCCAACTCCTCTTCCTCCTCCTCCCCTCCGCCCCCTCCTCCTCCGCATCCGAAAACAATTCAGAACCAGTCCTCGGACCCCTCTGAAGGTATCCAGGTCAGTTCTTCATCTCGGATCATCAACGGGAAGAAGGTATCGTGCGGAACGCCTGTCCCGCCCTCACGACACGCCTGGTTGAGCGACAGGGGGCAGCTGTTCACAAAGGAGGGCGAGGAGGGCGAGGAGGAGGGCGAGGAGGAGGGCGAGGAGGGCGAGGAGGAGGGCGAGGAGGGCGAGGAGGACGAGAAGGGCGAGGAGGGCGAGGAGGGCGAGGAGGGCGAGGAGGGCGAGGAGGGCGAGGAGGATCGAAGGCGAGGATGGCGAGGAGGAGCCCCCCCCAGCGAACCCCGGCCGCGCGGCGCGCAGCGGGAGCCGAGGCCGCCAGAGCGCGCCCTCCTCGGCCTCGCGCCCGCGGCGCGCGCGCGGGGGCGATCTCGAGGAGGGGCGATCTCGAGGAGGGGCGACCTCGAGGGGCGATCTCGAGGAGGGGCGATCTCGAGGAGGGGCGATCTCGAGGAGGAGCGATCTCGAGGGGGGGGCGATCTCGAGGGGGGGCGATCTCGAGGGGGGGCGATCGCGAGGAGCGATCGCGAGAAGGGGCGGCCCACGCGGGGGGGGGGGGGCACTCCAGAGCGAACGGGCCCGGGACAGCGGCGACGACGTCGCCGCAAGCGCCAGCGGCGGCGGCAAGGGCGCCGAGGAGGAGCAACGTCGACGATGTGTCGGCGACGATCACGACGACGACGTCGACGTCGACAAGGGCGGCGAGGACGAGGACGACGACGACCTCGATGGCGGCGACGACGACGACGACGACGACGACGACGACGACGACGACGACAGCGGCGACCACGATGGCGACGGCCACGATGGCGGCGGCGGCGCCGGCGGCGCCGGCGGTGAGACATTTTGGTGTGCGCCTCCCCCTGCCCTCCTTCCCTGGGGTCCAAAATCCCATTAGAGGCGGGGTGGACGGGCGGGGGGACACGGGCTCGTCAAAACAACGCGCCTCCGTGGCCCCCGCGGCCTCCAAATCCACACTCCATGGCCGCCAAAGTGTCCCGAATATCTTCTGCTGTGTCTCCAGACGGGCGTCAACACTCCGGAGAGGCTTCAAGAACACCCAACATGGCCCAAGACAGCCCAAGACGCCTCAATCGAACCCCAAAAGGATCCCCACGAGGGCCTCCAGATTCAGAAAACGTTGGTCTGCCATGTTTTTCTCGGAGGTCTGAAAATAGAAACGACCCGAGATTTACCTAAGGCGATGCAAGACGCCCCCAAGAGTACCCAGAGACGCCCCCAGAGGGCCCTAAGACGGCCCAAGACGGCCCCGAAGCCGGCCAAAAAGGCCCCCAAGAGGAACCCAAGACGGGCAACTCGCAGGGACCCCGGGAGCCCCCCCCCCCCACCACATCATGGCCCCGAAGACCCCAACGTACCCTCAAGAAGCTCCCAAGAAGCCCTTGGGGGGGGTCCCCGAAGGACCCCAGGAGCGCCCCCCCCCGAGAGGCCAGTTGTCTCCTGACCTGGCCCTGCTGGGCCCAGAACTGGCGCAACGTTGCCTCGCCTCGCCCGCGCACAGGTCACGGACGACACGAGC